TTCTTCACAATAGTTTCACAAGTTCTTTTTGTAAGTCAGCAAAGTGTACCCTGTGCCCTTTGTTTGCACATAGAAGTTCCCAGGAAGAAAGCCAAATCACAGCAGCTTATTCTTTTGCAGGTTAATAATTATCAGAACATCTAAGGTTGTCACCTCAGAGGCCATCTACCTGTGGTTTCTCCGAAAGCACAGAAATACAAGCAATGGTTAAAGGTACCAGACTGCCAGCTTCCTCTCAGCTTAAGTCCTTCTTCATCACTCTGTCATTCATCAAGTTGTCTTCTGACTAGTTCTGGACCACTCTTGTCTTCTATCCTATCTATATGTCACTCCATCTACAGTTTTCTGCCATCAGCCTTCTGGGTTTTTCCCATGACCTGCAAAACAGCTTTAACTCCTGCCATTGTCAAAACCTCAATATCATTTCTAATTTCATAGATACTACCACAGGAAAGAGAAAGAAAATCATAAATAGCAAATAGAGTAGGAGGATCACAAGAACCAGTAACAGTTGGATGGGTGAGAACACGACATTGGTGGTGCTCGTACTATTACCCATTCACCATGTCCAAGCGAAGGGCTGAGGATTAAAACAGAGACAAGACAGTGGGTCATTCATCGCAGTAGAATGCCCTTTATTGAAGGAGGGAAGAGGCCTTAAATACAGGCTTACAGTACAATGGGAGAATCTCAGAGGGCAGAAGTTTACTACAGATGTTTTACATTCTTGCATCCTAGCTTTTTACACCAATATGCAGGATACACAAACAAGGAACCTCCAGTAAGCTGTTTAGGAGGAAGGAAACTGGCAGGGATTTGGCATAGAGAGGACATCTGATCAAAGTCAGCAAGCAAGGCAATAGCTACCCAAGGAATGGGGTTCAGGGCCCAACAGATTCCCCCCTTACTAAAAAGAAAATGAGCTTCTGTCTTAGGTTACATGGGATATCAGCACATCACCTTACCTGTAATCAAGACACCTGCCCAGGCCATGCAGGCTCTCTGTCTTAGGCCTGTGGGTGCCTCCCAGATATTACCCGTCATTAAATACTCTATCATACAGGCTCATCCATGTGTGAGCTGTGGGGTTAACTTCTGGCAAAGATCTCAAAGTTGTGCTGGGCTTGCAGTCTCTGCATTCAACACAGAAAAGACCAACAGAAGTCCTAAGCTACCCATAGCTAGTAGGCTAAGGGCAACTGAAGCATTCCCTTCCTTAAAGAGCCTTATTGCAAATTGGAGTCCTTTTAAAATGGTATCCCAAAAGTAAGTGGAACTTGAGTTTTATTAATTTTATAGCTTCCAAAGCCAACTGAAATATATTACTGCTGAATTAAATTTATCAAACCCAATAGAATGAAGGAGTAATTAATTGTGGTAGCTACTTTTACTGCCAGAGTCTCCAGCTGTAGTAACCAACTGTGAAATAGCAATCCCAGAAACAGTAGCATCAGTGCCTACTACCACTGTAGTAGCAACAACAGCCACAGTGAAGTCAAATTCTCTTCTCGAGTGTGTAAGCACCATCTGTGTCTTACTGCCATGGTCCACTGGCATGGACTCAACTCCAGGAACACGAACCACCAAGGCCCATTTTTCTTGATCCCAGCATGGCTTAAACTGGCAGCTCTGTGAAGAACAATTAAGAGCCACAAAGAGAAACAGAGACAGCACACAAGGAGCAGAACTAATGGTCTCATAATGGCAACATTTCAGGCTCACAAATTTTAAGGTATATTCAAATAGGTCTAAATGAATTACAGGAGGTCATAAATGTTGCACAGAGCCATTCCTGAAAAGGTAGGTACTACACCAGCTTGAAGAGGATTGTGAAAATGAAAAGGCTTAGCTGGCATGGTACTGTTATATGGAGGTCAGTGACCATATTACCTAATGTTAGGGTTACCCTCTAATCTCCAAGGTGCCTGGATGATACGTTCTCAAACATACTTGAAAAAGCAGTTACCATATACTACCTTCTAAAGAATCCAACACCATGGCTACAGTTCCTAGGCTTACGTTAATGCTTGCCAAGGCTGGCTGTATTGGGCTCTCAATCCCCACTGGCATCAGAAGGGGAGAATTTTTCATGAAGGCCCAATAGGTCTCTGCCATGTTGGGATTTGGTAGCAGCCACAAGGTGCACACAGCACTCAGGAACCCAAAAAAGAACCTCATTGTCCTGCGGAAAGACACAAACAGACCCCCAGGCCCATTCCAGCACTGGATTGAGTCCTCTCCAAGTGCCAGTAGAAGGATCCTTCCATCACACCAGAGGATGATTTGCAACAGCTCTCCAGTGCTTATCTGCAGTAGATATTCCAGCAGAATCCACCAATAAAAAATTTAAAATATATAAAACAAGAGAAAGAATAGAATGTGGAGAGGAAAGATGAGCCTCTAGCTCCCTGCTTTTTACTTTAGCAAATGTGTTTTTAAGGTACGATGGTAAGCATTCTACTATAGCCTGTCCTTGAGGATTATAGGGAATACCAGTCTTATTAACAATAGAAAAATCTTGGCAGAATTTTGAAAACCCTGTACTGCTGTAAGCATGACCATTATCAGTCATTATGCATTTTGGCACTCCCATATAAGTAAAAGCATGAAGACAATGATTCTTTACATCCTTAACCTTTTCACCTGAATGAACAGAGGCTAAAATTAGAGAGGAATATGTATCAATAGACACATGGACATATTGTAATTTTCCAAAGGAAGGCACGTGTGTGACGTCCATTTGCCACACATGATTAGATAAAAGTCCTCAGGGATTAACTCCCAAACGAGGAACAGGTAAAAATTCAACACAAATAGGACATGATTTAACTATCTAGATGGCTTGATCCTGGGTTATGCCCATATGATGATGGGGAGATCCAGCATTAAGATGATAGCGTTGAAGCAATTGAGTAGCCTTTTCAAAGGCAGAACAAATTAATGTGACAGCCATACCGAGTAACGACATTAGCCCTCTCATTACCTTCGCTTAGAGGTCCAGGTAATTGAGTGTGAGCTCTAAGATGGCCCACATAAAGGTTATCTGAATGGGACCAAATAAGTCCTTGCACTTGCAATAAATATTCATGAATGGGAGAGATGGATGGTATGTAGGCTGTTGTCTCCAAAGGCACAATGGCATATGCCACATATTGGCTATCAGTATAAATGTTTACAAGTTCATCAGAAAATATCTGTAAAGCAAACAACAGTGACTGTACCTTCACCATCTGGCTGGAAGTGCCCTGGAATTTCATTCTCTTTACTATGTTACCAGAAACTACCACAGCAAAACCATGTGAAGTGCCATCAGTAAATATCACATGGGCCTGAGAAAAGGAGTCATCTGTACTATCTTGGGAAATATAACAGGATGCAATTTAAAAAATTGACACACATCTTTGGAGGGGTAGTGAGTATCAAACTGACCCTGCCTAGAGCATGTCAATATGGTCTAATCATTATCATTAGCTTGCAACCATGCTATTTGAGATTGGGTGTATGGGGTTACCACAATATCTGGCTCCTTACCAAAAGTTTGAACACTAATCTTGATTCCCTTAAATATAATCTGAGCAACAGCCTGAGAATAAGGAGTAATGGTTCTCACTAGAGAAGCTGGGTAATGTACCCATAGAATAGAACCTGTTTGCCAAAATACTCCAGTAGGTGAATGAGTAAAACAAAATATCAAATACAATAAGGGAGATGAAAGATCTATATAATGTATGTGAGCCTGTTCCAGGGCCTCTTGTACACGTTGTAGGGCTGTACACCCTTCAGCTGTTAATTTATAGGGAGATAAAAGATCAGGGTCACCCTTTAAAACATCATACAAAGGACAAAGCTGACCTGTTGGAATCTGTAAATTGGGCCAAAGCCATTGAATATCTCCCAGAAAGCCTTGGAAATTATTAAGCTGCATTGCTGATCTGTACACAGGGTAACCTTTTATGGATGTATGCTTGTGCGTAACAATTCATGACCTAAATACTGATAGGGAAAAGATATCTTTTCTGGGGATATTTGTAAATTAGCCAGGCTAAGATCCTCTTGTAATTTAGAAAAGGCATCAAAAACAAGTTTTTTTGCCTTCAGCAGCCAATAAAATATCATCCATATAATGAATTATATTAACATCTGAAAAAGCTCTTCAAACTGGAGCTATGATCAAAGACACATAAATTTGACATATAGTAGGGCTATTGGCCATTCCTTGGGGCAAAACCGCCAACTGATGTCTCTGATAAGATGTCTTATCTCTGATAAGATGTGAAGAGGCTCACATACATTATATAGATCTTTCATCTCCCTTATTGTATTTGATATTTTGTTTTACTCATTCACCTACTGGAGTATGAACTGATGTCTTTGAGATTTTCTGATGAAATACTAAAAGCAAAGCGAGGACTGTCCTCGGATGCAAAGGAATGGTGAAGAAACAATCTCTCAAGTCAATCACAATGAAATGCCAAATGTTTAGGAATTGCCACAGGGGCAGGCTGTGTTGCTCCCATGGGAAACATGGTTTTATTTACAGTTATAAGATCTTGTAATAGCCTCCATGTGGTCTCAGTCATTGTGTGTGGAAGTATGAGAGATGCTTCACATTCTCTCTCAGTCTGTCTTGCTGGTGTTTTTTGGTTGAGATTCAGGGACTAACCACAGTGGCTCTGAGCAGATACTACTCTGAGTCCATCAAGATGCAAGTGCATCTTTGCCATTAGAAGGCTGGTCTCTGCTTAGAGTTTTACCAGAGAACACACTCTTGCCTCTGCCTTCAGTTTTCTCCGTTTGCTGCCTTATCTGTCTCATGACCAGAATTGAGACTGCTGGCTGAATGTGAGGAAGAATTTGGAAGACAGTCTGAAGACAGAGGAAGATGGAGGACAAACATCCCTAGCAGAGAGGCCTGTGTGATTCATAGACAGAGTAGATCCATGCCCTGATACAGTGTGCTGAGTGCAACAGTTAACCAGTGTCTTCTTCTTGTCCTTCAGGTCAACACCATGATGTATCCTCAATTCTTCATTTCAGGCCTCATACTACTTCTCCCAGGTGGGTGAGTAGGTGAGCTGGGGGGATGCTAAGGAGGCTAGAGCTGGCAGAAGTGATCACAATCCTTGAGCTTTTTGAGTACGGCTTATGTTATGAGCAGAGAACCAGGATAATTGTAGCTCCAAAGAATTTTCTTAACCGGTATTTCAAAACTTATGGCTAAATAAACATGATTACCTCTTTGGCAGCAGTTAACTCTGCAGCTCACACATGATTGGGCCTATATGATAATGAGTGTTCAGAGACAGGTAATACCTGGGGGGAGCACTCACTAACCTAAGACAGAGCACCTGTGTGGCCTGGGAAAGCGTCTCCATGACAGGTAAGGTGACTTGCTGATGACCCTTGCAACCTAAGTCAGAAGCTCATTTTTTAGTAAAAGGGGGACCTGTAGGGTCCTCGCCCCACGTTTTGGGTAACTGTTGCCTTGCTTGCTGACCTTGACCTTGATATCCTCCCTATACTAATTCCCTACTGTGTTCCACCCTCCAGAATACTTAAGGGAAGTTCCTTGTCTGTGTATTCTGCATAATGGGTATTAACAGGTTAGATGCAAGATTGTAAACCATTGGTAGCAAAATTCTGCCCTCCGGGGTTCTCCCATTATGCTATAGGCCTGTATTTAAGACTTCCTCCCTCCTTCAAAAAAAGCATTTGGGATTAATAAAAAAAAAATAGTCACACAGCCAGACCCCTAACAAAAAATAAAAATAAAAAAATAAACATGATCACCAAGAACAGGTCAGGTGAGTACACACACATTCATGTGATGGACTAGTTAAGGATGAGTGCACATGCATGCATGTGGTGGACAAGTAAGGATGATGCACATGCATGCATGTGTATACATGTTATGGACAAGTAAGGGTAAGTGCATATGCATGCATGTTATAGTCAAAGGTTAATAAAAATTACAAACAGAGCTTTCCATGCATGATGACTACTCAAAGTCAGCCTTCATTACATTTCTTTGTGTATTTTTGCTTTTTAAAACCATTTTTACATATTTAACTTAAAAACATTCTAATGCAAACTGTTCTATGAAAGGGGGTATAGAAGAAATAATATAATTGTTTTTCAGACAGGGTCTAAGTTAGTCCAGGCTGGCCTCCAACCCTATAGCTAGCTGAGGATCACTTAAACTTTCAATCCTCCTACCTCTACCTCCAAAGAGCTGAGATCACTGGTGAGAAAAAAAAAATATATTTCTGTGTATTAATTAAAGTAGTATGTATTTTATTTGTGATCATAAAGTGTATTTTGTTGTAGAATATTGTTTTAAGACATGTTACATTTGTTTATGCTGTGGAACATTTGTTTAATGATGTGAACATGTGTTGTCTTCTTTTATGTTTCATTTGTTTAACTCTGTAGTACTTTGCCTGTCTAAATCACCTCATTGTCAGGAGAAAGGATAGGAAGGCTGGCAGGCAGAAAGAATAAATAGAAGAAGGAAAAGAGAGAAAAAGCAAGGTGCAAGAGAACAAGGAGAAAAGGACATTGTACCCAAATGAATTATATTTAATCATTGATGCATTTTTAAATTGCATCAATATGTGTTTGGTTGCATATTTTCTGACTATGTGGTCTTTCTTTGCTAGTTGGTAGGTCTTCCTCAAGTTCTGGAATGTCACCAACTTTTAAAAAGAGACCTCTGCTTAGTTTATGTGTGAGAGTGAGTGTGAGTGTGTGTGTGTGTGTGTGTGTGTGTGTGTATCTATGTGTATGTATGTGTCTGTGTGTGTTTAAAGGTTCAATCATAAAATTCAAAATAAGTCTCAGTCTCTCCTTTCTGAAGACTGACTTTGAAGTTACTAAGGTTCTGCCTTGAAGCCAACAATGCTTTTCCAAAGCCCTGGCTCTGCTCTTTGATTAGGAGAGGTGGGAAGAGTTAGTGATTTTGTTGTCATAGCACTGTGGGGGGTGGGGGAGGAGGGATGGTTTCAGATAAGGTCACCAAATCCTAGGCCTGTCTTCAACTCAATAGTTAGCTGAAGTTGGCCTTGAATTCCTCATCTTCCTCCCTCTATCTCCCAAGTTCCGGGATACAAGTGAGTTCTGGGCTTATAAGCATTACCCACAGCCTGGCTTTTAAAATAAAAAGTTTAAATAAAAAAAAAAAAAGAAGAAGAAACATTTGAGCTGGTCTCAGTGGCACATGTTTACTATGTCAGAACTCAGGAATCAGAGGTGGGAGATCTTGACTTTGAGACAGATGAGGTATAAAAAAAGACTCTGTCTCCAAAGAAAGTCACTCTCTGAAGAATATAAAAGAGAAGAAAAGTCTTGTGAATATCATAACAGACAAGTTGTTTTGTTCACAAATGTACCCATTAAATAATCACACTGAGGGAGAATATGCTAAGAGGAAACTGTTTACAGTTTTCAAATTCAGATAGTAAAACTGGACATTTAAGCATGGAATTGGAGAGGTAGAGGCAGCCAAGCTCTGGGAGTTTGAAGTCTGTTTTATGCAGCAAGTTCCAGGCTAGACAAAGCTGCAAAGTGAGATCCTGGCTCAGAAAACCAAATGATAACAACAAACATAAAGTTGTCATTCCCTCCAACCCCCCCAACAACAACAACAACAACACACACACACACACACACACACACACACACACACACACACACACACACACACA